TTTCTACAAGTGTAAACAAGCCTTTTCTGTTTCTAGGGAGCATGCACAAAAATGACAAGCACTATTAAATTTCTATGGAAAATAGAAATCATGTGAGCTTAAATTCTTCCCAGAAATGAATATTTGTAGAGGAAGAAGCAAACACACACACACACACACACACACATACACAAAAAAACACAAACACACACACAACAATAACAGGATTAACAGGAAAGAGATATATTTTATTCTTCACTTTGACTTCAAAATATCATTTTTATGAACATATAGGCCTATGAAAGAAATATCACATTCATATAATTTTATAAATGCTAAGCCCATATCATATAAATGATATGCCATGCAGAGAAAGTAGTTGAGTTTTCCCCAAAATCTTGTACAAATTTGTTTTAGACTTTATTTTAACTCACACTGTTTCAGTCTACTTTTAGAAAAATCAAATCTCACTTTAATTTAARCCAGTGTTATGGTTTGGATCTAGAATGTCCCCCCAAAAGCATATGTATAAAAAGCATGGTCCCCAACCAACAAGGTTCAGAGGAGGGATTTTTAGGCAATGGTAGTATTGTGAAGGTTGTAACCGCATCAGTAGATTAATCCATTTAATCAATTAATAATTTGAATAAACTACTGACTGATAACTGTGGGGAGGAAATGTGGCTGGAGGAAGCAAGCCACCAAGGACATGGTCTTGGGGATAATTTCTTGTCCCTGTCCCCTTCCTGTCTTTCCATCTTTCTCGCTCTCTTGCTATTTCCTGGCCACTATGAGCCGAGAAGCATTCCCCTGCCATGTTTCTTCCTTGGAGCCAGCAGACCATGGACTGACTCTCTGAAACTGTGAACCAATGTTAGTCATTCGTCCTCTAAGTTGTTCTTGTCAGATATTTTGTCCGACAAAAAGCTGACTAACAGAGTTGGTTATTTCACAAAAATATACAATGTTAGCCTTAAGATTTTTGTTTGTTTGGTACCAGAGATGAACTCAGAGGTGCTTAAACAGTGAGCCACACCACCAGCCCTTTTTACATTTTATTTTGAGACAGGGTCTCCCTAAGTTGCTTAGGGCCTCACTAAGTTGCTGAGGCTGACTATTTTTTAAGTTTGAATCTATAATGCTCTTGCTTCAGTGATGAGCCACTGGGATTAAAGGCATGTGCTACCATACTCAGCACCTTCCAAGTTTTTTAAATTTATGAAAAGTAAAAAAAAATTACTCTCTAATTATCCATTTCTACCCTCTACCCTCAAGAGATGTAGGGTAAAAACTCATTTTTAGTTTAAAAAATGGGAAAAAACAAAAACAACTCTGGTATAAACTACATACCATCAACCATATGTGGTTACCACCATACACAGTAGAAATTTCTGATAAAACTGAATAAAGCAAACAAAACAAAAAAGGAGGAAATTTTTAAAAAAGAAAATGTAACTTTCTTCTACTTATGTTTGTAACTGGCATTACGATTGGTATCTATTATGAAAGAGGGGAAACCACACCCAATGAAATGGCCAAAATCTACTCAAGAGCACTGGCAATTGTATTGCCTTATAGTACCTGCATTATAGTTATAATTACAATAATGTTTTACAAGCTATAGACATTTTTATTCAGACCKAAAAATCATCTTAAGATTTAGTTAACTATTAACAAGTCTTAAAATAAATTATTCATCTAAGTTCCAAGTTTGAGAAAGAATGGTCTAATATAAGGATGCATTATCATCTGGGAACTATAGCAAAAAAKATCCTACAGGTGATCAAGCCCCTACAAAGTTACATAATCTAAGAGGACAGAGGCACCTTTGAAACTACACTGCAGAATATAATAGCAAAATTTATACTACTGAAAAAAGAATAACTGTTCCTTTAAAAACAAGAAAGAAAAGTACAATAATTGCTAGGGGGAAAAAGGGAGAGGAAAGAAAACTTACATGACTACTGGACAACAGTAGAAATTACTCTTAATTATTTAGTGCAATAATGGTATATCAAAAGAGCCTATTTTATGAAATAGTTACAGGTCAAATGAGATGATGTCTGCTTTGACTCAAAATAATAAGGAAAAGAAAAGTGCAGATATAGCTGAAACAAGATTGCCCATGAATTTGTAACTGTTGAAACTGGGTCATGAGGATTCATTACACCTTTCTATTCTATGTGTTTGTAATTTTCCATAATAAATTTTTGAAATCATAAATTGAGTGAAAAGAAAAATCAAAAAARGGGGAAAAATTATCAAATATAATCAAAGAACTAGAAATAAAGATCTATAAACTAATAACGAAAGGTCTATCCAATTTCAAAAAACTGGGCAAAAGACTTAAACAGGGACTTGACAAAAAAATCAATCTATATGGCTAATAAGCATACCAAAAAAAAAAAAAAAAAGGAGCTCAACCTTATGAGTAAACAGGAAAATACAAGTCAGAAGGTTAATGACATGGTTACACACATCCATCAGATTTACAAACATTTAGAATTTCTGGCAATTATCAGATGCTGGCAAAGACCTAGACCAAATGTAAAGTCATACACTGCTGATGAGAGTGCAAACTGGTACACTTTTGGAAAACTATTTTGGAATCATCTAGTAATGTCAACAATACACTGACCTAGCAATTCCACTCTTAGGTTTAAACCCTACAGAAACAGATTGCACAAAGCCATCAGAAGATATGTATAAAAATGTTTATAGSAGCAGTATTTGAAAAAGTATGAAATTAAAAATAACTCAAATGGTCAGCCAAAGTAGAACTAATAAACAGGTATATTCACACAATGGAATTCTATAGAGCAATAAAGTAAATGAGATGCAGCCATATATACAATGAATGGTTCTCAATCACAATGTTAAGCAAAAAAGCAAAATAAATACTTCAGCCATTATAATACTAATTATATCATGTTCAAAAATAAGCAAAGTCAAGTTACAGAAGGATATATATTAATATTAAAGCTATTAAGAAAAACAAAAAAATGATTACCATGAAATATGGTTAGCTGGGGGGGGGGGAGGAAGGAAAGAGTAAAACGGATGGAAGTTACAAGGGCATTCACTTTCAAACAATGTGTCCAACTCTACTCTTCTGTTTACATATTTCTGGTTTTATTAAATTTATTTATTCTAATTTGTTATATATGACAGCAGAATGCATTTCAATTCACAGTACACATATAGAGCACAATTTTTCATGTCCCTGGCTATACACCAAGTAGTGTCATACAGTTCCTGTCTTCATACATGTACTTGGGTTAATGATGTCCATCTCATTCCACCGTCTTTCCTACTCATCTGCCCCCTCTCTTCCCCTCCCTCCCCTTTGCCTTATCTAGAGTTTATCTATTCCTTCCATGCTCCCCCATCCCATCCTCATTATGGATCAGCATCCTTATATCAAAGAAAACATTCAGCATTTGGTTTTTTGGGATTGGTTTACTTCACTTAGCATAATATTCTACAATTCCATCCATTTACCTGCAAATGCCATGATTTTATTCTCTTTTACTGCTGAGTAATGTTTTAGTGTGTATATACATACACCACATTTTCTTTATTCATTCATCTACTAAATGGCATCTAAGTTGGTTCCACAATTTAGCTATTGTGAATTATGCTGCTATACACTTTGATGTGAATATGTTTAATATAGTATGCTAATTTTAAGTCCTCTGGGTATAGAGACCAAGGAAAGAGACAGATGGATCAATTGGTGGTTCCATTCCCAGTTTTCCAAGGAATCTCCATACTGCCTTCCATATTAGTTGCACCAATTTGCAATCTCACCAGCAATGTATGAATGTGTCTTTATCCCTATATTCTTAGTTTTTTTAAAAAACAAAACGTTAAAGAGACAACAAAGGTTTTTAAGGAAAAGCACCTTTTCTCGTGAAACTACTTTAGAATGTTTAACCAAAATGAAACTGAAGGGAGAAAGATCACAGAGGGTATTAACACATAATAGAGAAGCAAAGGAAATCCCCTAGGATGATTGTAGAAGACTAAAGAACAAATTATTCAGCTTTGAAGAAGATTAAAGGCTTCAGGTAAGTAGTCCTTGAACAACCAATACACAACCTAAGTATTTTCAGTATTGAGAAGTGACTCAGTTTGAATGGAGAGTAATGAAATAAGTAAAGAGTAAAGAATTACTAAATCTAGAGAAAAGTTGTGAATACTCTCTAGTCAGAGACCATAAATAATAAATAATGATTTGACTACAAAAGTAATACAACTAAATTCAAAAGATGCAGAACAGGAAGGACATGCAGAAGCAGGAGAGGGTTTATGGAACTAAACCTTCATCTTTCAATGCAGGAATTCAATAGATATATCAAGTGAAAATGCAAGAAACAGTAAATGCATGCAATTTAGAAATATAAAGATGAATACCTGACAAAACAGTTTTTTTAATAGTTGAAAATGTATGCCTCAGGAGAATAAGAACCAGTTCTGCTGAGAGCCGTGGCAGATGACAGAATTTGTTATAAGGATTGTAGTACTACTTTTAAAATTTACACTACACATGTTCTAACTTTGATGTAAAGTAAAATTAAAGTCCGTTGTGGACCGTTTGTTCCACAAACAGTTCACATATGAATACCCTTACATTCTTTCAAACTTTTGCCATTTCAATATATAGTCTGCATATTTAAATAAACAGATTGAGAAAAATGGTCTATCTTTCTAAATTGAACATAACTAAATGGGAATCTAGGAAGTAACAATTAACTATATAAAACTCCTCTGTAAAAAAACACTTAGAAAATCACATATTAGTGTACATGCAAAACATCAAACTTTTCATTAAGAATAGGATAATTAGGGCAAAGGGAAGAGGGGAGATAAAGAGGAAGCACCAGGGACTGAAATGGAGCAATTTATATTCTGCGTTCATATGATTATGTCCAAATGAATCCCACTGTTATGTATTACTATAGTGCACTAATAAAAACATTTTTAAAAGAATAATACAATCAGTGATATAAAAATCTTACCTTGTAAAAGTTTCCATACGACTTTCGAATATTGATCCACTTTTTAGCAAAATGAGGATATTTGAGCCGGCTCAGTTGGCACTGCATGTTCAAAAACTTACTCATATCCCACGAACTTATAAATCAGAAACATAGGGAAAAAGAGGATAAAGTAAGGGCTATACTATTCTCACAAATGAGTATTTTAAGTCATTTTATTTGTTTTTTTAATCTACACATATCAACTTTCCCATATTCACACAAAACATCAAGCTTACAAAATTAAGAATTAATTTTTACAACACCTTACTTCAAAAATTAACTTTAAAGGTGGGATGAAAGTTGGCATATTAGTTTTTTTTCACAAACTAAATTTGGTTAGGCTCATCTTGATTGTTTTTATGGTGCTGATGACTGGACAGTCTTCTGTCTTGCTAAGTTTTTTTTTTCCTTCTCTCTTTTATTTTGTAATTGTTAAGATAACTGTATAATGCCAGGTATACCATATTAGTAAGTTCTTAGATAAGTTTTAAAATACAACAAAAAACAAAAACAAATACATAGAATGATTATATATAATGGGGTTAGAATGTCTGTTTTGCAACCTATATCTTTCTGTAACACCAATCAACATGTTTTAGTTAAGGTAGTCGATACTGAGTATGCAATATATAAATTGTGTTGGTTCATACATGGTTTTTCTTAGACAAGGGGAATCAGAATAGCAATAGAAATTATAACATTCAGCAGGAAATAAAAAAAGGCTTCAACTCAGCAGCTACCCTGGCACAACAGGAAAGCTTTCAAATGTATTTTAGGAAAATTAAACTCAAGTGCCTTTTTCTAGGATCCTACTGTTTCTGCGTACTTTTAATATCCTGAAGCAACCTCCAATGAGCCTGAGAAGTTGCTTGCCTGGCTGTCCAAATATTTCTGAAAGTATCAATTACTGCTTTTGTTTTGCACAGGTTTTCCAATGATTTGTCCCAGAATTTGAGGTGTTTACAGAACTGCATATACTGTGGTATGATAGAAGCACCTGTCAACATTAGCAGTAATATTGCTTATTCATGTTTAAAATCAGTGACAGATTTCCACAAAGGTCCATCAACATCTTCCCAAACTTCTAAACTCAACTATGATGTGATCAAATTCAATGCTCTTATATGAGAGATTCCCAAATCCTTCAGGTTGGCAAATCTCAGCATTAGAGTACAAACCATCTATAATTTAAAACAGAAATTATTTGGGATTTTCTTCTTCAACCTTATTGGCATTATGGCAGAGGAGTTGCTCTTGCACAATGCCTGTAATCCTGGTTTTAATCTTTCTGATCTTCCCATTTAGCCTTTCACTTAACAAATGCTTGTTGGGCATATACTTTGGGCTCAGCATTTAAGCATTGTGGAAGACTATTGGTTAATAAAAATCCTTACCCTAAAATGATTTTTAATTTCCTTGCAAAAATAAGTCCTACATGAATAAACATTAGATATAAGAATATATAGTCAGAATGAAATACATCATATAGGGTATAAGACTTTTTAACAAACAACGTGAAATGTAAAATCTGGGTAAAAAGACTACGTTAAGGCTTTGAATAATGACAAAGAAATAATGAGAAAGAAATTCTCAGCAGACAGGAAAACATGAAGYACACAAAGAAAGGATATACCATGTAAATTCATGGGTAGCCTGACTAAAAATGAATAATGGCAGGTGGATTAGGCTAAATGGATACAGTGGGATGAGAAACCTTGAATGCCAAGCTGAACTTCTGCAAGAAGGCAAATGTGTTTAAAATCAGTTTTAGGAAAGACATTTAGTTTCACATATTAATATTTATCTTTCTAGACCTCTAGTCTGGATTAAAATGTTATCATTGCTTTCCCTCCTCTTTGATCTCTCGGATTCAAAATTTAAGTAGGAGTAAAAATAAGAAAGGGAAAATACTATCTCCTATGGGATGACTCTAGAGCCTTTAGCAAATATTTATTTATTGAAATATTTTAATAAATATTTTTATTTATTAAAGGCCCCAGAGTGGCATCCTAAGTTAAATAAGGTAATTTTTAATCCTAAAAAATGATTTTTAAAAAGGTAAATTCCCTAAATACTTACCCATCTGTTAATATGCAATATTTATACTTTGTTCCTAATTCCTTCAATTTCATCCAGTCAATTACTTTTTTCAGTACCTGAGGAAAAGTATCAGCTCTGTCAACCTGATCCTGAGGATATACAAGTAAAATATGTAAAAATTAAGACAACCACTTATAGTCCTACAAAACACCCCGACATATACAAGAAGAAAATTATCAATAAGAGGATGGCTTATTTATTTTAAATTCTTTATAGTTTCCTTCAGTTAGATAGATCTACCATCTAAATAAGACCATCCCCAATGGTTCTCTTTCTAGAGGCCTTAACCTAGTAGCTTACTGATTCTCAGAGTAGAAAAAAGGGCAATCTCTTATCTGCTCAAAGCCATAGCCTATGAAGTGGTCTTCCCAACTCAAGTCTCACTCCTTTACACACCACACTATACACACACTGCTGCCAAACTGGACTTACTAAAATGTAAATCTGACCTACTCTATCACTCTCAATATCTTCCAGACACTCTTCAAGGCTTTGGGATAAAAGGACACACAAGAGCTTTCATGATCTGATTTGCCTCTAGCTACCTAGACCATTTTTTCACTAGCCCATGCACATTTGAGCCATCCTGAACTATATGTATCTGCTGTTTCACAAGTGAAATGCTCAACCCTCCTTCCTGTTTACTTACTATCATGACTCAAAGATCACCAACATGAGGAAGCTTTTCCTAGGATAGCCCTCTACACATACAAAAATCCTTTTTATAGATGCCCACAATACCCTAATAAAACACTGATTTGTCACTCTTCCTAATTATTTTGTCTGACTTATACATCATAAGAAAGATGAAGACAGAGACTGACTAGACTGATTCCCTAGTTCTATAACATATATTTCAGTAGATAATCAAATATGTGTGGAGTAGATAAATGGATGAACGAAAGGCCTACTTATTAGAATACTACAACAACAACAAAAAAAATCACACTAAAAAACAAATTAAGGTACATATACGGTCAAGTTGTACACACATACATTCTAAACCTTATCTTCAAGTACAGCACAATAATACTTACTTTGTTAATGCTCCATTTTACACAGGAAATCTTTAGATGCACAATTACAACTCCATAAAAGAAAAGTAAAATGTGCTTTTTGTTTCTGAGATGCAGGTCTCACTATCTTGCCCAGACCAAATGAGAACTCCTGAGCCCAACTGATCATCACACCTCAGCATTCTGTGTAGCTAGGGCCAAGCCCTCATGCCAAGTTCTAAGTCTTTTTATTATAATATGAAAGATCTTTACCAAGCAAGGAAAACATTCACAGTCTAGTTAGTCTGTATCTTCAGTATCCTTACAGTCTGGAAGTCAGGAGGATAGGCAGAATAAGCCAGTGGTCACAACACAGTTAAGAAAAAAGACTTGCCAGAAATTGTTCATAACAATGACTTTTTAAAAACATCCATAAAATAAATCCCAAATTAAAAAAACGTCTTTCAAGCTTTAGAAAAAGGAATACAAAATTATAACCTGAGTAATTCCGGTAAGACTGATGCAGAAATCAGAAAGCTGAGTGTTAATCTCTGGTCTTACATACTGCTGAAACGTATCTTCCTAAAGAAAAGGATAACAAGTTAAAAATATGACCCAATATATGACAGACCCTACACAACAAATTCAGTCACCAGAATTATCAGGTAATTGTTTATTTGTGGTACTGGGGATTGAACCCAGAGCCACTCGACTACTGAGCTACACACCTAGCCTTTTTTTAGACAAGGCCTTGCCAAATTGCCCAAGCTGGCCGTGAACTTATTGCCTCAAACTCCCAAATCACTGGGATTATGGAAGAGCTCTCAACAGAAAAAGCCATTCATTTTCATGCAAAGCCTTTTTATACTTACTGCCAGTGTGTTGGTGGCAATAGAGTTATTACAGAAGTGATTTTCAGATAGATAAGATGTTCTGATATATACTCACTCAGATTATATAAAAGTACTGTTCTGGGGAATTTATTCTATGATTTCTTGAACTATGAATGTACTAATAATAATTATCTAAAGCATACATATTATGYTGCTTAGAAACCAAGGTTATAAGAGCTGTTTCCTCAATAAACTTTCCATCAAAAAGATGGCCAGTTATTTCTATAAATTGTCATTTTTAAAGATTAGTTAAAACCACCTGTGACGCTTTTTTAAAAAAATATGCTGATGTCAGGGGCCCTATGACAGAAAAACTAAACTAGCACCTCTGGGAATAGAACCAAACATCTGTTGGGTTTGTTTGTCTGTTTTTAGTTGTAGACAGAATACCTTTATTTTATTTATTTGTTTTGATGATGTGCTGAGGATAGAACCCCAGAGCCTCAAAACATGCAAGGTAAATGCTCTACTAACTGAGCTACAAACCCAGCCCCAAACATTAGTTTGATTTTGKTTTTTTTTTGTTTGTTTTTTCCTCCCCAAGTGGTTTTGATGTATACTGAGATACAAGCAAACAAAAAACACTATTATAATGTTAGCTACTCGAAAGGGGGAGAAGCTATTTCCACTATTGTTTGATTATAGTTTTTTTTTTTCCGTTAAGCTAATATAAGAGCAAAAAGCTCACTTTAAAATTCTATTCTAGCTAAAATGGTAAATGAGACCCTCCAACTTAGTAGTGAACACCAAAATAGTCGCTGCTAAAAATAAAATGAAGATATAACAATTCACTTACTATTTGCAAGGTATGAGTATTCAATAAAACAACAGGAAACTCAATTATTTCATGTATGAACTCAGGTGGATTACCCTCTTCACAAGTGGCTTCAAAGTCAATAATACAAATGTAGTCATAGTAACTATCAGCACAACTGCTCTCTTTCAACATTAGCTTCTGCTTCTTATAATAGTTTTTCAGTCTCTTCTTTAATACATCCTTTACACCTCTAAGTAAAAGAATAAAAAACTTACTTAGGTGAATTTTACAGTCAAAATTCTGAACTCTTACCTGCTGGCAATAGGTTGAACACTGACAGTCATGGCATACTTTAGCTAAATTGCAAAGTAAGACTCAAAGCTAAATCAGCAAAATGCATAAAACAACATCAACATTTTCCTTCACAAGTAACAGTTCATTTTAATGGTATAGAAGAGCATTTCTCTAATATATATTTGGTATTTTAAATTATAAATTTTGTCAGCCTATACCACTAACTCAGCCATACTGCCTTATCTATTAAGATGACATGATATGAAAACTAAAAACTAATATTGAATCATTCTATTGGCCATATACGTTTGAGAGATAAAAATTTAAGTAAATTGAACATACTCTACTATCTCCTCCTTTCTTTTGGCATTTATAGTTTAGACAACTAAAAACTCCATGTGATATAAAAGCATTATGAGCTTAGAACATAAAGTTGACTATCTGTATAACTAATTTAGCAATACCATCCTAAGAGTAAACTATAACCCACAGAACATTATCATAGAAGTTTCTTAAATTACCTTGGGGAAAATATAATCTGGAAATTTCAATATTTCACAAAGCTTTAAAATACATATTCTACAAATGAGTAGGAGAGAAAGGAAGGGTCCTCCTACATAGATAACAATGGTTGATAAATAGTGATCACATATTCAAACAATATGTATTTCTTCAATAACTTAAAAATGTCACAGCCAGTGCTTATGTTTCCTTCACTGTTACTTGGCTCAATAATGAACCGGCCTACAAATAAATACAAAACTGTAGTAAAAATAAAAGGCTCTAGCTTATAATTAATATTTACTTGCCAAGTAAGGTATTTTGGTCACATTGCCAGTTAGGAACTTTAAGAAAGGTTTTTGTATTTTTGTTTTCTTTTTTGCCTGTATTCCTTTCTTAAGTTCAACAAAGCAGTGACAAAGGAATCCTATCCATGATAACACTGATAATCAACTAGTTGGTTGTTTTAAGACAAAATGTTTTATGGGATTTTCCAAATCACTGAAACCTAACAAGCAAATTCTTCAACCCCTTTCATTTTAAGTCATTGTAAGTGACCTCTGTTACTTCAGAGTACTTTGTCTTAAAATTTCTTTTCCTTTTTGTTTTGTTTATTTGTTTCCAGGGGGAGAAACTATACTAACTAAATGGCTACCTGAAAAACCAAACAGTAGTGCAAACATATAACTAAATACTCAGGATAAAAACCTGTCATCCTTAATATCTCCCTTGCTCCCTCCCATACTCAACCACTTTTACTAATTCCAACTTCAAAAAAAAAACATTCAGAATCTGGTTTTCCTTAATTCTCTTTGCTATAGCTCCCATCAGCTTCTTGCACTATAGCAAATTCGTTCGTTACCTTACTTAAGAACTGAGCACCAATGCCAACTTCCTACCCAACCATCTTTACAGGTCCATTCTTTTTACATGGTAAAATGTAAACTTCAGTATAGTGCTCCTCACACTGCTATGACCTATCATTTCAGTATCATTGTTAAACATCCCTGCTTCCCCACTGCACACCAGTATATCAGATACTGCAGACAAAACATACTATAGGCCCTGGCCTCAATATGTGGTATGTTTTCATGTTCTATAACTGGTTTATAGTAGTTTTTTTTAAAAAGGCAAATCATGTAACAAAAAAAAAATCTAAAAACAGGAATCAAAAGATTTTTAGTCAAAATTTTCTTCACAAATGGTGTCAAATATTTCTTCACAAAAAAGCCTGAAATATCCTCCTCTAGCCATTTTCTGTTTGTTACAAATGTCACCTTCCTGAATTCCTGAGAAACACTCTCTCCTGTATCCTTGTGCTGCACTTGGCCAGGCCTCCAATATAGTACTGGCCACTCTGTACTGTAATTATTTATTTTTGTGTTTTCCCAAAAGACTGTGAGATTTCCAAAGCAGGGAAACATATCTGTATTTACCTTTATAACTTCAATGCCTAGTGTAGTGCTTAGAATTCAATACAGGCTTGTTGAATAAATGTATAAACATACATCTAGATCTCTAGCTCCCATGCAAGCCAGAAGCAAGCAAATGATCTTCACACCTGGGAAGGATAAAAATTTTGCTCAGAAAGTCTTCTGTAGGCTATAGGGTGGACCTTCATAGTAGAAAGAGTCAGGGAAAAATGAAGTCAAAAATTTCTTCACAAATTATGATACAGACAATTTAGAAGGGAAAAAAATTATGTGTGCTCTTCTGAAAAGTAGTGAAGCTCTATCTTAAAGCAAAGAGGAGGAATTCTACTGAGATAGAAATAAGGATTAAAGGATGCCCAAATTTAATACCTTTTCATCTATCACATACAATTTCTTTCTTGATGCCTAGCAATTCTACTTTTCATTAAAAATCTATACATTTTTCTGGACTCCAAGTCATTCCTATCCTATACCCAAGAAAAAAGTAATTTGCTTTATAAAATATATTAAAAATTTAGGTATGTGTTTATCTCACTAAAAATACAGAAACAGCTGTATAAGCTACATTTTTTCTCTTTCAATACACAGTGAAATATAATACACACAATCATTCTGCATTAGTTTTAGAAGCTAAAACAATAAAAAAAATCCTGAAAAATGAATGATTTCTTTAAATTACCTGGTTTCCGACAATTCTCCTTACAAAAACAATACAAATGTCCAAAGAAAAATAAAAACAAAAAATATTCAACATCATTAATAAGATATAACTATCCATCAARTAAACAAAGCAACCATACAAAAATTTTAAATGTATTTGTTTTGGTTAGATAGACTCCTAGCTATGCTAGCAGATATTCCTGGATTTCGATTGAATAGTGTTATTTTATCATTTAAAAGGCTGATAGAAATAGAGTTGCACACAAAGATTTATGTACAAGAATATCAATTACAATTCTTACTTGAATTGTCAATTGTTACTAAAGTATGAATGCAGATAATTTTTAATTTTTCAGTATTTTCACAATTTCCTAAGGTGAGCATGTAATTTTTTAAAGTTATTTTTAGTTACCTGGTTTCAAGCTTGAATTCTGAAAGCTTAGCTCTGAGTTCTTCCTTACTCATTCTATTAATACAGCCATTTGTAATAGCAATCTCTTTGTAAACTGGGTCACTGAAATCACTTCCATTGGAGGTAATGAACTTAGATCCTTTTGTTTCTTGGCCATCAAACCTACATCGATGCTTTTTCTGTGGGAAAAAAAGTAGGGAGAGGATACAGCTTATCAATAGTACAAACATCTTATATTTAAAGACTCAAACTCCTGAGGCCTCTTCATGCTACATGTTCAAGGAAAAGCACCCATTGCAGCTTCTGGAGGGAGGACAGGATGAAAAATATATTTCAAAATAATTTATCCTTCTCTGAGTCATGAGGCTCCTCAAAGGAGATGAAGCTAAGCAAAAAGGTGTTGGAGTCAGAGCCACCTGAGTACAGAATCTGAACTGATCATTTACTAGCAGCATAATCTTGGGTGGTTACTTATCAGCTTTTGCTCTTAAGTTTCCTCACCCATAAAGTAAAAGTGTATTTATCTCAAATGGTATTTAGTAATCATAACAGTAAATAGTATATGGGCAGAATTATTATAAGCATGCAATAAGACCATATATAGCAAGTTCCTAATACTATATCCAGCAGTGATTATTAATAAATGGCAACTTTATTTATTATCATCACAGGCAGTAAAAGAGACCTTTTTATAAACTTACAAAATAGCTAATTTTTAAATGAATTTTCACACTATACATGTGTAAGTCAGTGACTTCCTGACAATCTTTTAATTCAATCCAATATAAAAACAAAATATGCTATAAATCTAACTCAAAACTTCCTAGTACAGGGCTGGGGCTGTAGCTCAGTGGCAAAGCGCTTGCCTAGCATGCATGGGGCACTAGGTTCGATCCTCAGCACCACATAAAAATTAACAAATAAAATAAAGGCATTCTGTCTATTTACAACTACAAAACAAAATTAAAAAAAAAAAAAACTTCCTAGTACCAAAACAAAGGAACTATATTCAGTTTTAAAACTCAAAAAAAAATTTTTTTTAACTTTTTTCAAGTCACACATATCCAATAATTCAGAACTATAGTTACTGTATTATAAACCTATTCTCGTTTTAAATCTGTTACATGACTTAATTCTATTCTCTCTACGGATAAACCCAAACTACAATCATGTTATGCTCCAAAGATTCATTTATAATCCAATTATTTCCCCTATGTAAGGTTTCAATATTAGCTGTTTCAGAATTTCCAAAAATACTTTGATACTATTAACATATTAATGCTTATTAACTTAGTCAAAATTTACTACACTATTCCCATGTGAACTCTGAATTACAGACTAAGGAGGGATAACAGCAAAAGGCCGCCATCCCTGGCTTAGAATTACTCCAATGGTTCAGGGGCTATTTCTCACTCTAAACTCTTACTTTAATGCAATACATATTTATTGGAAATGTAATGCTAGGTACTGTGCCAGAGTACTCATTCTCATCTCCTTTGAGGAAGGGGTTAGCAATTTCACTGTACAAATTCCATAAATAGGATTAAGCATGAGATTCCTAGTTAACAATCATTTAAAAATAAAAACAAATTTTATTACATTGCTTTTTTGACTAACAAAACTCACATAGTTTAAGTAAATTTTCTCTTTGGATAAATCCATTCTCAGATTCACTTAGAATTCTTATGTAAAACTACAGCAACAAAATTTACTACAAATTAACACACCTCTTCTACATATGCTACAAATCATGACTTTTATGAAGATTTGTTTCTGCTCCTACAACCAACTGCAGACCTCTTGTTTCAGTGAAGTTCTGAGCACAGTCAAGGTCTTCCTCTCAGTGATTAGTGTTTCTTCAGTTCTAGGACACAAGTTAATCCACCAAGAAACAGAAAGAAAAATTTGAAACCCCATATATACTATTAATCTGCAAAAACACATTCATTTACTAAATTGAGATTGGAACTGCCTTCTGCTCCAGTCTCTTTGTCCATCTGTCAAATGTCACTTACAGTACTAGCCATATACAAAAGAGGGAGATGGATTCTGCAATAAGAAGAGAAAGATTCACCTCACAGAATGGTTAACATTAAATATTCCAAAATTGCTATCCTTTTTTATTTGTACTGAGAAGGGGATGATAGTTTGAACTCTAAAAGTTTGGTTTTTTAAATGAACACAATCTATTGTTTCAAGAAATAAAGTATGGTTTAAAAATAAGCTTCAAAGTAACTGCTTATCAAAAAGTATCTTTTTCTGTTAAGAAAATCTGAAAACAGTGTTTTAGTGTTTCCATAATTTTGTTGCAAAAAAACTACATTAACCTATTTGCATCTATACATTAAAAAAACACAACTTATCTTGATTAAAATTCTTCCAAAATAAGAGTTCTGATAAAATTTGAACCTACCTGGTAAAACATAAAAATGCAACAGCTTTTATTAATCTACAAAAGCATCAAAAACTAGTAATAATGGAAATTTACTAGCTGAATATCAACAAAAAACAACTTTGCTTTTGATTGGGAAAAAAAAAAGTCTGCTCATTTATTTAGAGCATCCAACAATAAATTTTTAACAAATATGAATATGATGGTCACTAAAACAATCTGGAACAGACAGAGGCCTCAAATAGCTAAACCTAAGAAGTTTCAAAACTTTCAAATTAATGAAGTATAATCAAACACACTTATTAAAGATAAACTTTTGAAAATTTTTTTTAAAAGACTTAGATGATGTTACTTACAAAATCTATCTCAGAATAAAGGAGGTGGTGGGGTGGAAAAGTTCTCCACAGGGCACAAGGAAGTCCTCTTTGAGAATGAGATAGCTTTGCAAAGATCCAGAGGAAGAGTATGCTGGGCAAGAGAACCTATAAAGACCCTTAAGGAGAATCACCTTCCATTGTAAAAAAAAAAAAAAAAAGACAATGAAGCTAGGGGCTCAACGCAGGAAAAAGGATGACTGTGTGAGATAAAACTAGCAACAGAAAGGGATACGATCCTGCGGGCACCCAACAGAAGGTAATCAAGGAATGGAATAGTCACCCAAATTCAGATTATTAAAAGATCATTATGCTGTACGCAGAAAGTAACTCATACATRGAAGGAGCAAAAGACCTAGGAATCCTCTTGCAAATACTCACTTTGTAAGGGACTCAACAATGATTTGTTATTAAGAGGTAAAGACCAACTTTCAGCATTATTTACAATGTACGGCGCTAATCAAAAATAATTATCTCCAATAAATAAGACGAATAAGTTTTAAGCTTGCTTTACATGTTTGCCAATGTGACTAAGATCCAAGAGTGAGATGTCAAATCATTAGGAAAATCAATCATATACTATAGGTCTATGAGATGATAGAAGAAAATGGGCAGAAATGGGAGGCGAAGACTAGGCAGGCAGACAGCACAGTCATGTTCTGTGAAGGCTGTGAGGAAGGAGGCAGGCTTCAAGCGACATTTCCAGAGCAAACGGTACTATTTAAAAAACAAAACAAAACAAAACAAAACAACTTTCCAATTACTGATGATGGAATGGCAGCAGCAACAGTGAACGCAGAATGTTTCGCGCAGAATTCCCACCCAGAACTTACAAAACCACAGTCCACACAACTTCTCTTCTGGACCACTTACACCCATCCTGATTGGGCCCTGAGGGGTCAATGACAGGCGCCCCGAGCTGGGGACCCGGCATCCCTGGGGCTGCGGTTTAAGCTGCACACCAGGAGAAAAGGGGTGTCCAGGGTCGGCGGGGGCCGAGGGGGACGCGGGCCCAGCGCTCACCTCGCGAGGCGCGTGCTGCGGATCCTCCCCACCCTCCGGCTGCGGCGCCTCCAGCTGCGAGAGCGCCACGGCCTCGCCGCTAGGCTGCCCACTCTGCTCTTTCTCCATGCGGGCTCTCCCGCCAGAAGCCAGCTGCTGGAGGCACACACTCGCTCACTCTCCACCAAGCCCCAAAGCTGGGCTTTTCTCCGTTGAAAAACCACCCAGCTCGCGTTCCCGCGGCCGCCACACAAACTCCAGCGGACACCTCCCACTTCCGGGAGCGTGTGGCGTCCGCACGCCGCGCAGGCGCAGTGAGCTGGCGCGCGCGGGACGAACGCGCAGCTGCCAAGGGTGGGAGCGGGAAGAAGCCGGAGGCGCGAGCTGGGAAGCGAGTGGGCGTGGACAAACCACGCGCTGCCGGGGGGAGGGTAGAGATGAAAACCCTGTAGCTAGACGCAAATCATCTGAAAAAAAAAAAAAAAAAAAAACATCCGTCAGCATTTCTTGAGGGAGGAGGCAGGGACATCACAAAGAAAAGGCTTTTCTTCCATTACATACACAATTTATGAAATAATTTACAAGACTTCTTACCTTGCAGCAAGAAGAGAAAATGGGTCTGCAGTTGGTGTCCTACTCTAAAAATTAGAAAACCGAACATGTAGGAAACAACTCTTTTTCTGACGTTAGACAACAGACTGTTCTGGATTGTTTGCCTGAGAGAAGAGAAACAAAACAAGATGAGCACAGCGCATGCCTCCTGGACTTTTTGCCTACTGGCAACTGTCAGTCTGGTTCAGGGAAAGGAACTCATAACTAAGGTCTCACTGAGTTGGGAAGACAGGAGTAGAGAAATTGGGAGAGGACACGTTGGTTGCACTTTTAGGGGGGCAAAATTCTGGATAGGAATGAATAACACGTAAAGAGCTTCAAAACTCTGCATAAGAGTATCTGAAATTTTAACTGAATAAAAATGAGTGAATATATCATGTGAAGCTCCACAAGGCCAGGAAAGAACAATTATTGTAGAGCAGTAAGTCAATTAATAGCTCACACAGGACTGGAAGTCCTTTGAGTTCCAGGCAACCAAGTCCAGAAACTTTGCTGACTAACACGCAACTTGTAGTAGATACCCTACAAGTGTCATGCCTCAGTAGTGGGATAAACTTGTCCCGGATTGTGGGAATCAAAGTGAATTCATGCACCCTTCAGAAGCTTAAAAACAAACTCTGAAAGGATCAAACTACTCGGTAAGAAAATTAACTGCTTGCAGGAACAAAGTCTAATCCTTTATAACGACCACAAAAATAATAAAATTTAGGATTCAACAACAGATTCAAAATGTCAGCCATCCAATCAAAAATTAAGAGACATGTCAAATGCTACGAAAATATCTCATACAATCAACAGAAGCACATACAGAAGTGATAATAGTGATGGCATTAACAGAGAAAGGCTTTAAACATGTATTGTAAATGTGCTAAATATTCTCAAGGATTTAAAAGAAAATATGATTGAGAAATCAGAGAGACTTAAAAAGAAGCAAATAGAATTTTCTGGAGCCGAGTATGGTAGCACTGCTTGTAATCTCAACTACTAGGCTGAGGTGGGAAGATTGCAAGTTCTAGCCAGACTGGGCAATTTAGTGAGAACTGTCTCTCAGAATAAAAAGGACTGGGGGTGTGACTGAACACTGAAAAGTGACCCTGGGTTCACTCTCTAGTGCTACCAAACAAACAAACAAACAAACAAAAACCTGGAAATGGAAAATACAATATCAGAGATAAAAATTTCTCTCGATGGATCAGTAGCACATTAGGCAGTGCAAAAAAAAAAAATTAATGAATTTGAAAACAGCAATAAAAACAATTCAAAATGACCCACACAAGGAAAAAGACTGAAAAAAGAATGAATAGAACCTCAGTAACTTATGGCACAATATAGAGAAGCCTAACATATACATAATTGCAGCCCCAGAAAGGAAATGGGGATGAACCAAAAAAAAAAAAAAAAAAAAACAAAGAAATAATGAACAAAAGTGTCCCAAATTTGATGAAATCTATAAACTACAGATCCAAGAAAGTCAAAGAAGCCCAAATAGGATAGACATAAAAGAAACTATACCCTGGCATATCTTAAAGACATTGGTAAAAAATAGAAAGAAAATTTTAAAAGGAACCAGAAGGAGACAAAAGGAAATTAATTACATGCAAAGGAATCATAATTTTCGTAGACTTTTCATTAGAAACCATGCAAGTCAAAAGAAAATGATAATAGTAAAAAAAATTTTAAAAACCCCAAATCTTTAAAATAAACAAAAAGAACCCTGTCAACCTGGAATTTTATACTAAAGTAAAAATAAAATATATAAAATATAAAGATATTTTAATTTCACCAGCAGGGTGATACAAAGACATTTTTGGACCATAAGCCCAGGAAATACACATCCTGAAATAAAGCTGTCCCAGCTGGTGAGGCTCCCAAAGTGATAGGCCAGAGTACGGTGCTTGGCATGTCAAATGCTTGGAAATAACAGAAAGTAGCTCAGAAGAAATATCTTTCTCAAGTCCTTTCTTCTGCTTCTCTTTCTCTGCCCTCGCAAGTAAAGAAACTAGAACCCAGCTACCCACCAAACCAGCCATAAAACCTAGAAATAATGAACCCCACCTTTCTGTGTACAAGCTGGCCATAAAGAAATCCTCTGACCTATCTTGTCTGATAGTGGGTCATAAGGCACTCATTCTGGAAGTTCTACCCTCTCCCTAGGAGGAAGACAAGCTGCCCAGAGTCCTAGAAGGATCAGGACAGGCTTTTCTAAGTTTCCCCATTTAGTCCGTTACAGTTAAGTCATTCTCTTTTTGTCCAGTCACATTTTTATATAGCTGTCCATTCTTTGCCCAATCTAAGCATTAAAAATGACAGACTTTCTTGATCATTAGATCTTCACTTCTGAAGTCTCCCTCTTATGACATGTAAAAATTTGACTAAATAAATATCACATTTTCTTCTGTTAATTCATCTTCATCAGTTTTTATTTCAGACCTTGCAGGAGCCCTAGGAAGGTTGGAACCTTTCCTCCCGGACACAGCTGACCTGCAGATCTCTGAGAAGAAAAAAAAAGTTTGTTGTTGTAAGACATTGGGTGGTTTGTTACTCAGCATTTTTGAAAAATAGTTGAGAAATACAGGGTCACTTCAAGTTTCGTGGCATTGGTGAGGACATATGATTTCCCAGTAAAGAGAGACACAGTTAGAAATGTATCACAAGGTGTCTCCTCAAATAATTTTCTTCCTAGGAGGATTATGGTTTCTGTTGTCGTTGTTACCTTATAACCACAGACTTAACCTTTGTGTTTATAAACTGAAGTACATAAATTATAAAAAGACACAACTCCTGTCCCGTTTTCTGGGGACAAATTTATTCACCTTCACTTTAGATAATAACACTTTGGGGGAGCCCTAATATACAACTGCAGAGAAGTTAGGGGAAATGCTATCCTCTGTCTCTTCCCTGGAAAATATCTTTTTTTCCTCAGAGAAGGAAGAATAACTAACTGTCCTGAACAAGATCAGGATCCATATTACATACACATTAATAAGCACTAATTACAGACTGTTGTAGCTAAACATTTTGGTTTGATATGTGACATATATTTCAACGTTTAGTTAAAGAAGATTCACCATCGACTAGTGATAATCTATGTTAAAAATGTTGGTTTTAGGCCTTAGTACTACTGCTTGGATCTACAGGAATGCTTCATTCATTCAACAAATACATTTTGAGCACCTTCTCTGAGCCAGGAATGAACAGAACAACCACAACTCTTTGCCCTAATGGAGTTTACATTTAAGAAGTGGAATACAGACAATTAACAAAACAAAAGAAGAAAGAAAGAAATGAAATGGTTACAATAGAGAGAAAAATAAACAGGGAAGGGGAGTGGGGGGGTGCCTGTGTAAGAAGGGAAGTTGACATTTTGAATAGAATAGTTATGGAAAGCCTCTCCAGTGATGTGCCACTTAAGCAAAGACCTGAAGAAGTAAGGGAACAAACTGTGAGAATATCTAGAAGAAAAGTCCAGACAGAAGGAACAGCAGGTGAAAAAGCCCTGAGCTGGAAAGATGCCTGGACTGTTCAGGAAATATCACAATGTCCAGTACTTTCCTGTGAGTGTGGGATGGATCAGCCTGCAGGAGATCTGAATTTTTTTAACATGTTGAGTGCTGTAACTTGCCCCCAAACACTGAAGGAGAAATCCCAGTGACACTAGCACCTCCTCCTTAAGCAAATATGTGCCTCAGTTGGACAGCTAAGGATGCTTCCTTATGGCATAGCCTAAAGGAGAAATTTAGGAACTTGTATTCTAAATCAGCTCTTCTCTGATTTCCCTCCAGTGGAAAATACACCTGCCTCTCATTGATCTGTCACATTTCTTGATTCATCATAGTTAGTGATAAATCTGTGTATTCTGAGATAACAGGATTGGCAAATTAGATTTGTGACTTTTGCAGAGGAGAATGACATTTCTATGCCATTTTCCCATTGCTGCCTGGTGCCACATGTGTATTTGTGTGTGTGTGTGTGTGTGTGTGTGTAGAATACATATATATATATATATATATATATATATTTATATTTAATCCCACTTTGTTCTTCTATTTTTATCTTCTCCTACCATCTCCTAGTTCCACAATCTGATTTTATAAATCTCTTCTTTTTAAGCTGAATCTGTCATTTTTCTTCCCACCTCTTTTATTTAGTCAAAAAATAACTCTAAGACCTTCAGTTAATTTTCTTCAGGAATTTAGTCACATGAGGAAAGCAGTCATTAGGCTGGTGTTAAAAAACAAAGACAAAAGTGGGATTTGAAAGAAAGCGAGAAAGCCACACTTTGAAAGAATGGTGTTTGCATCGGGTAGGATGAACCCGTCAGATTGAGTAGCCAATAAGAGTTTCACAGAAAACCATTGAAATCTTTTGTAGATTTTTTTTTT